CAAGTGTGTGTATGTGTGTATGTGTATACATGAATGTGTGCAAGTGTGTGTGCACATGTGCGTGCATGTGTGAGCATGTGTGTGTGAGTGTATGTGTGTGTGTGCAACTGTGTGTGCACACGTGAGCATGTGTGTATGTGTGTGCATGTGTGAGCGTGAGTGTGAATGTATGTGTGTGAATCTGTGTGTGTGAGTGTATGTGTGTATGCGTGAGCATGTGTGTGTGTGAATGTGTGTGTGAGTGTGAATGTGTGTGTGAGCATGTGTGTGAGTGTGAGTGTGTGTGAATGTGTGTGCATGTGTGAGGGTGTGTGCGCACACGTGAGCATGTGTGTATGAGTGTGAGTACATGTGTGTGAGTGTGAATGTGTGTGTGCAACTGTGTGAATGTGTGAATGTATGTGTGTGAGTGCATGTGAATGTGCGCTAGTGTGTGTGTGCATGTGTGTGCACGCATGAGCATGTGTGTGTGAATGTATGTGTGTGTGAATCTGTGTATGTGTGTGTGTGTGAGTGTATGTGTGTGCATGCGTGAGCATGTGTGTGAATGGATGTGTGTGTGAGTGTGAATATGTGTGTGAGTGCAAATGTGTGTGAGTGTGAGTGTGCATGCGTGAGCATGTGTGTGTGAGTGTGAGTGTGTGTGAGTGTATGTGTGTGTGTGAATGTGTGTGAGTGTGAGTGTGAATGTATGTGTGTGAATCTGTGTGTGTGTGTGAGTGTATGTGTGTGTGCATGCGTGAGCATGTGTGTGAATGGATGTGTGTGTGAGTGTGAATGTGTGTGTGTGAATGTGTGTGAGTGTGAATGTGTGTGTGAGTGAGTGTGTGTGAGTGTATGTGTGTGTGCATGCGTGAGCATGTGTGTGAATGGATGTGTGTGTGAGTGTGAATGTGTGAGTGTGAATGTGTTAGTGTGAGTGTGTGTGAGTGTATGTGCATGCGTGAGCATGTGTGTGAGTGTGAATGTGTGAGTGTGAGTGAGTGTGTGTGTGCATGCATGAGCATGTGTGTGTGAGTGTGAATGTGTGTGCATGTGTGAGGGTGTGTGTGCGCACACGTGAGCATGTGTGTGTGAGTGTGAATACATGTGTGTGAGTGTATGTGTGTGTGCATGCGTGAGCATGTGTGTGAATGGATGTGAGTGTGAATGTGTGTGCATGTGTGAGGGTGTGTGTGTGCACACGTGAGCATGTGTGTGTGAGTGTGAATGTGTGTGCATGTGTGAGGGTGTGTGTGTGCACACGTGAGCATGTGTGTGTGAGTGTGAATGTGTGTGCATGTGTGAGGGTGTGTGTGCGCACACGTGAGCATGTGTGTGTGAATACATGTGTGTGAGTGTATGTGTGTGTGCATGCGTGAGCATGTGTGTGAATGGATGTGAGTGTGAATGTGTGTGCATGTGTGAGGGTGTGTGTGTGCACACGTGAGCATGTGTGTGTGAGTGTGAATGTGTGTGCCTTCTTGCACACCATCTCTGGTCATGCCTCCCTCCTGGCTGGTGAACATCCCAGACTCAAGGCAGCAAGTCTGAGGACCCGTGGTGCGTCTCCAGACTCTTGAGCTCAGGAGGCTTCTCATCCCAGGGCGGGAAAGCCCGGAAACAGGCAGGGGAGGAGACAGAGCCCCAGGCTCCGTGGGAAGCGTGAGCCCCCTGGTGTACCGTGTCCCCGTCCCGCTCCAGGCCTGTAGCTAGTCCTCCAGTAATTATCACACCAGGATCGCACACACCACAACAAAGCCGTAAAGTAGTCAAAATACAATCTTTTTATGGGCAGCAGATTGAAAAATCCATCAACACGTGCCCATCCATCAGCGGTGCTGACAGAAACCACCAGAAAGGGAGAAACAAACATAAATAAGCTTTTTCCAACTGGGCTCGTCGGCGGGGAGCTCCCTGGGGCCCGTGACGCCGGCGCTGACGGCTGGCAGCCTCCGACCCCAAGGCAGGTGGGCTGGCCCCAGGCGTCCCGGCCAGGGTTGTGGGGGGCCCGGCTCTGCCACGTGATGGCCAGAGGCCGGGCTGGGCTCCCTGCAGACGCCTTCCTCTGACGGTGGGCCGGGGGCTCCTGGGGCCTCCAGGGCAGGTTTCAGGTTCTGGGCACGTCCAGCGGTCAGCGCCGTTCCCCAGCCCCTCCTGTGCTGCCGCGGCTCCTGGAGCTGCTGGCTCCTCTAGGCTAGGCGTTGGGGCTCCGTCTCCCCAGGATCTGCACCCCCACACTGTCCTCCCCTCCTCTCTCCTCCTGACCCCTCCCCTGCCCACCTGTCCACTAAGGCCTGTCCAGGCCCAACAGTGTCTGCCCAGGAGCCTCCCCGTTCCAAGTCTTTGCTGGGCTTGCCTGCAGACCTGTCCCTGCCCGGGGCTGTGGGATCCCTGAAGAGGTCCCCGGCCTTGGGTCTCTGGTTGGGATGAGGCCCCAGCAGAGTGCCCGGGCAGAGCTGATTGCCCCAGAAAAGGCAGGGCAAGGACAGCCAGAGGAGGGCTGATCAGGAGAGGCTTCTTGGAGGAGGCAGACGTGGCAGAGGGCACACAGGCGCCAGGAAGAGAGGGCCCACGAGAGCAGCCTTGTGGGAGCTGGGGTGGGCCTGGGGGTGAGTCAGGGAGTGAGGGTCCTGCCGGGGAGAGGAGGGCGCCAGGCACCTGGTCTGGGTCGGCGCCCTCGGCAGACTGCTGTTACTGTTGCTTGCTGTCGGTATTGCTGTTTCTTCCACAGGCTGTCCCCAGGGTCGCGGTCTTGCCAGCCTGCCCCTCGTCCCCTTCTAGGCGTCTGAGCGAGGACTCGAGAGAAGGCCGAGGGAGAGCTCAGCCGTCACCGTGCTCTTGCTCTGAGATTCTCCCAGCATCCTTTGGGTGCCCATCACCCTCTGCCCCGTGTAGGGCGGAGGGGCCATGACTGCAGTCCCTGGGAGATGGTGGGGCTGGGTGGGGAGCCCCCGAGTGCTCAGCTTGTCCAGGGAAGACCCAACTTCGCCTACCCGTGTTAGTGACGGGAATTCATGGGGATGGGTGACACCCTTATCCACCCCCCACTCCCATTCCAGGAAACCCGTGTGGCCCCCACACGTGGGTACTGATGGGGCTGAGCTGTGGGTGGCCTGCAGGAGGCATCTTGGTTTGGGGGTCATATCGTATTGCTGCTCATCCCCCTGGCAGCCCGGAAGGTTCAGGGAGCTGCCTTCGGCCAAGGACAGGGAGGCTTAGAGGGGCAGCACCTCACCCCCCGACCCCTGCGTCAGTGTCCGGGCTGTGACGAAACCCAGGAGACCTGCGTCCTCTTCACTGGACCGGGAGGAGATGGAGATGACCTGCCTCCCTTTGAAAAAGGAACTAGGGGTTGATTTAAACATTCATTCACATCCCAATGCATATTTTTGTATATAGTTTTTGGTGAAATTCTGTAACACCAAAATAACGGTAACAAATACAGGATGAACTGTGAAGTTCTCTTTTTTGGACAGCTTTTTAGAGATATAATCACATTGCTTACAATGCATCCATTGGAAGTGTACAATTCAATGGTTTTTAGCATATTCACAGTATTGTGCAACCATCTACATGATGGTTTATTTAGGGCATTTGTATTACCTCAGCAGGGAGCCTCCTACTCTTTCGCAGGCACTCCCTAATTCCCTCCTTCTGGCCCTAAATAACCACCGAATGCTCTCTGTCTGTGTGGATTTGCTACTCTGGACATTTTATAGAAAGGAAGTCGGACAATATATGGCCTTATGAGTTCGGCTTCTTTGACTCAGCATAATGTGTCCTGGCATATGCTAGAGGTATTAACACTCCATTCCTTTTGATGGCTGAATAATATTCCACTGGAAGCAGTGACAGATTTTATTTTCTTGGGCTCCAAAATCACTGTGGACGGTGACTGCAGCCATGAAATTAGAGGACGCTTGCTCCTCGGAAGGAAAGCTGTGACAAATCTAGATGGTGTATTAAAAAGCAGAGACATCATTTTGCTGACAAAGGTCCAGTAAAGTCAAAGCTGTGGTTTTTCCAGTAGTCATGTATGAGTGTGAGAGCTGGACCATAAAGAAAGCTGAGTGCTGAAGAACTGATGCTTTTGAACTGTGGTGTTGGAGAAGACTCTCGGGAGTCACTTGAACAGCAAGGAGATCAAACCAGTCAATCCTAAAAGAAATCAACCTGAATATTCATTGGAAAGACTGATGCTGAAGCTTAATACCTTGGCCACCAGATGAGAAGAGCTGAGTTACTAGAAAAGACCTTGATGCTGGGAAAGACCGAAGGCAAAAGGAGAAGGGGGTGGCAGAGGATGAGATGGTTAGATGGCATCAGCAACTCGATGGACACGGATTTGAGCAAATTCTGAGACAGTGGGGGACAGAGGAGCCTGGTGTGCTGCAGTCCATGGGGTTGCAGAGAGTCGGACACGACTTAGGGCCTGAGCGGCAGCAACGGTACTCTGCTGTGTGGAGGGACCACGTATTGTTTTTCTGCCTGTCCACTGACAGACCTCGGGGCCGGTTCCACCCCCTGCTTACTGTGAGTAAAGCTGCTGTGGGTATTTGCATACACTTTTTGTGCAGATGTGCGCTCTCATCTCTCTTGGGCAGATAGCTCGCAGTAGAATTGCTGGGGCACACAGGAATTCTGGGTTTAACTGAAGAACTGCCAGTTTTTCGAAGCGGCCGCATCGTTTTCCATCCCCGCCAGCCACGTACGAGCCTCCAATTTCTCCACGTCCCTGCCAACACTTGTTATTACCTGTCACTTTGATTAGCACCATCCTGCTGGTATCCCATTTGGTTTTGATTTGCATTTCCCTGATGACACATGATGTTGAGCATCTTTTCATCCACCCGTTGGCCACTTGTGTATCTTCTCTGGAGAAACGCTAGTCCTCTGCCCATTTTAAAATTGGGTTATTTGTCTTTTTACTGTTGAGTTGTACAAGTATTTTTTTTTTTAATGTAATGTAGGATGCATGTCCCTGACCAGACACCTGCCTCAACGCCTTGTAAAGTCACCTGCAGGCAAGAGACGGCCGCCCCCACCCAGCGCCCGGCCTCTAGGAACATCTTGAACTCCAGCGGGCCCTCCGCTCCCCTCTGCCGGCTCCATCCTGCCTTGGCCAGCGCCAGCTCCCTCCTGGAAGGCGTCCCTGCCGCCCACCGGCCCCTCCCCCGGCTCACCTGCTCCGAGGGGCCCCCTCCTTCCAGACCCTGCCCACCTGCCCTGTGTCCTGGGCACCCGCTGCAGCCACACCTGCCCCTCCAGCCCTTCTTCCTTGGACCACAGCCCCCAGTCCCGAGTGTTCAGGGGTCCTGTCTGCTCCCAGAGGTGGCCACGTCCAAGGCCCCGTGGCTGGGGTACCGTGGAGCCGGACGGAAGAGCTGATCTTCCTGGAGGAGGCCCCCGCTGCCTGTTGCCTCCGGCAGGCCCCAGAGAGCTTTTAGCTCCGCCGGAAAGAAAATGCCGGGCCGACGTTTATTTTCTCTCTCAGCCAGAACAACCCTGTGTGTGTCACAGCTGAGCAAATTTATATTAGCAGCTCCGCCGACAGGCCGCGCACTGCACGCGACTTCCACGCACCCCGCCCCTCGGGTGCTCTCAGCTGATGAACAAATGAGGCCCTCCGTGGACCCAGGCGCAGCGCGCCCCTCCCGCTCCCCCCCAGACGCGCCGGCGCCACGGGCCGAGTCCCGGCACTGAGGTCTTCCCGGGCCCAGCCTGCTGGAGCGATGGGAAGAGAGGACAGAGACCCCGGAGGGGAGGTGGGCTGGCGGGCTGGCGGGCGGGGCCTGGGTCCGAGGTGTTCCCCTGCTTCCTTCGGCTGCGGGGCTGGAGGTGATGGGCACAGCCACGGTCCTGGCCGTCCCTGATCCTGTCTCTGATTTTTTTCTTTTGAATTAACTTTACTTGTATTTAATTGTCTAAAACGTCAAAATATGACAGATCTTGGTTCCATTCCTTCCCACTCCTCTCCTTCCTATCCCAGAGAGAATCACGCTGGACTCTCATAGCCATGTCTTCTTTCTTCTATTTAAAACTCAGACTTCATTTTTCTATATGAATATATTTCCACCTTGTAATTCTTCCATATTTTCTTCACGTTCTTTTATAACATTTTTACATGATCTTTTTAATCCACCTGGATTTTTATTTAATGACATAAAGTAAGAGAACTAGATTTGTTTTTTCCTTCATTGTGTCTACCTAGTGAATTGTAGCAGGCTCTTGTATTGAAAACTCCCCCTTCTTCTAAAATCCGTCTCTGCAGGTCCGTGGAACCTGTGCTTCTCACAGCTGTTTAGGTTTTCTATTTCTCATGGAGTCAGCTTTGAAAGGTGTATTTTATCTAGGAATTTGTCAGTTTCATCCACACTTTCAAATATATTGGCATAGAACTTGTTTGTTGATAAATGTCCTGTCACCTATTTAATCATGTTGCGCATTTGTTTTCATTCCTAAGGTTTTTATTTACAAAAATTTTATTTATTTAATTTTGGCTGTGTCAGCTCTCGTGGGACCCTCCCCCTGGGGTGCGGGCCTCTCTCTAGTTGTGGCGCTGGGGCTCCAGAGCCGGTGGGCTCAGCAGTCGGGGTGTGTGGGTCCAGCGGCCCCTTGGCACATGGGGTCTCAGCTCTCTGATCGGGGACTGAACCTGCGTCCCCTGCACCCTGTCTGTCTGAAGGCAGACCCCTAACCACTGAACCACCTGGGAAGTCTCCCTAGTATTTGTGTTTCTCCTGTCTCTTGTTTTCTGGAATTTTCTTGCTTTTTCTATGATCCGATGGATGTTGGCAATTTGATCTCTGGTTCCTCTGCCTTTTCTGAATCCAGCTTGCTCATCTGTAAGTTCTCAGTTCACACACTGTTGAGGCCTGGCTTGAAGGATTTCGAGCATGACCGTGCTAGTGTGTGAGATGAGTGCAGTTGGGTGGTAGTTTGAACATTTTTGACATTGCTCTTCTTTTGGATTGGAATGAAAACTGACCTTTCCCAGTCCTGTGGGCACTGCTGAGTTTTCCAAATTTGCTGGCATATTGAATGCAGCACTTTTGCCACATCATCTTTTAGGATTTGAAATAGCTCAGCTGGAATTTTATCACCTCCACTAGCTTTGTTGATAGTGATGGTTCCTAAGGCTCACTTGACTTCACATTCCAGGATGTCTGGCTCTAGGTGAGTGATCATACCATCGTGATTACCTGGGTTGTGAAATCTTTTTTGTACAGTTCTTCTGTGTATTCTTGCCACCTCTTCTTAATATCTGTTGCTTCTATTAGGTCCATACCATTTCTGTCCTTTATTGAGCCCATCTTTACATGAAATGTTCCCTTGGTATCTCTAATTTTCTTGAAGAGATCTCTAGTCTTTCCCATTCTGTTGTTTTCCTCTATTTCTTTGTATTGAACACTGAGGAAGCCTTTCTTTTCTCTCCTTGCTGGAACTCTGCATCCAGATGGGTATATATTTCCTTTCCTTCTTTTACTTTTGATCAATATTTCCAAAGATTTTTCTCTTTTATCCATTTTCTCCCCTGTGAATTGGTTTATTTTTTCCCGACTCTGTGTTTTTTCTCTGTTGTTATTTCATTTCTGCTACTTTGTTTTGGTCTCTTGATCTTTTGCTAACATTTTAGACAGACACTTAGTTTACATATTTTCAGCTTTTAAAATAATCATTCAACACTATAAAATTCCTTGTAAATACTGTTGTAATTTCATTTCTTAAGTTTTACATAGTGTTTTTATTACCTTTCAGTGCTAAATATATTCTAACTTCTATTTTGATACCATCTTTGCACCATGAGTTATTTAGGATTGCTTTTCTTGATTTCCCCATATAGAGTGTTTCAGGTTTTCCTTTTGTCACTGATTGCTGACCTAATTGCTTTGCGTTCAGAGAAGGTGTTCTTGTTTCTAAAGCTTTTGTATTTGTTGAGACTTGTTTTCATCCCAGTATGTCATCAAATTTTAAAAACACTTCCTTTTATGCTGGAAAAAAATGTGTAGTCTGAGGTTTTGGGGTGCTAGGCTGAACTTTCTGTTGACTTGTGTGTGTTAACTGGGTTGTTAAAATCTGCCGTGTCCCCACCAATGTTTTGATGTGCTCAATCCGCCAGCTACAAGAGGGGTGCGAGCCCCGTCTACCGTCCCTGGGCTTGCGTCCCCTTCTCTTGGAGAGCTGGCGGGTTTCTCTTCATGGACTGGAGCAGTGCACATACTGAGAACTGTCACAGCATCTTGGTGAAATTAACATTTTGCTCTGTGTAGGGTCCTTTCTAGTTCCTTTTTTTAAAAAAATATTTATTTTTAATTGGAGGATAATTGCTTTACAATATTGGGCTGGTTGCTGGCATACATCAACGTGAATCAGCCATTGGTATACACGTCCCCTCCTGTGAACCTCCCTCCCCCCTCCCGCCCCCTCCCACCGCTCTTGGTTGTCCTCACAGAGCACTGGCTCTGAGCTCCCTCCGTCAAACAGCAAATTCCCACTGGCTGATCTGCTTTAGACTTGGTGATGTGTGTGTTTCCACGCTGCCCTCTCAATCCGTCCCCCCTTCCCCCCACTGTGTCGGTAAGTCTGTTCTGTGTCTGTATCTCCCCTGTTGTTGTTCAGTCGCTAAGTCACATCCGACTCCTTGTGACCCCGTGGAATATAGCATGCCAGCTTCCCTGTCCTTCATGTCTCCCGTCTCTATTGGTGCCCTACAAATAGATTCACCAGTACCATTGTTCTAGATTCCATACACATGCCTTAACATACAGTATTTGTTTTTCTCTTTCTGACTTACTTCACTCTGTGTAAAAGGCTGTAGGTTCATCCACCTCCTTAGAACTGACGCAAATGTGTTCCTTTTTTATGGCTGAGTAATATTCCATTGTATACATGCACCAAACTTCTTTATCCATTCATCTGTCGATGGACATTAGGTTGTTTGCATGCACTCGTTGCTGTAAGATCTACTTGATCTGGCTCTGCTGCAGCCACCGTGGCTGTCTGGCTGTCCCAGAGGAGGACACTTGGCCTGGACCCCACCCACTTTCTGAGGGTTTCCTGGGGCACTAGGCTCCGTGTGAGGGCTTCACCTCCCTCCCTTCACTGTCTGCTCTCACCCCACCACCACGCAGGAGGCTCCATTGTTTTCTCAATTCAGAGACGAGGAAGCCGAGGCTCAGAAAGTTCAAGCCCAAGGCCACAGCTGGTACCTAAGTGAGGTGGGCAGCCACTCTTACCCCAGACCCTCAGGCTAGCCCCGCTGCCCGGGACGGACCGAGGATGGATGTTGGTGGTCTGCTTTCCCTCCCGCCCCCTCTCCACCCTCCCCGCCTTCTGTCACGTCCTGTGGGTGCTTCTTGCGTCTGTTTCCCGCTGGACCCCGTCTGGTGCACTCCGGGTCAGACCAGGAGGCTAGAGTGACCCAGGGAGGTGTGCAAAGGTGTGGGCCCCCCCAGAATTGTGCAAATGTAAGTAGCGCCGCAACGGTCCCTGCCGTGGACGGTGGGGACGATGGCGGCCAGGCGCGGTCACGTGTGCTCTCTGGGGGCACAGACCTGCAGAGGTGGCTTGGCAACGCCAGCGGAGGAGCAGTTCTCAACCGGCCTCCCCGACGGGTGCCTCCCCGTCGGCCGCTGGGCGCAGCCGGGCCTTCCCGGAGGCCCCCTGCGCTGGCGGGCGGGACCGCAGCACAGGCGTCCCCGGGGACGGGTGGCCCCGCGACCCTCCCTGTGGTGCCGTCCGTGTCCACCCCGAGGCCCCCGGGGCCGCGCTGTCCGGAGCTGATGGACGCGGAAATGCGCAGCCCGGCCCGGAAGGCGAAGCCGCGACTCCAGGAGGGCGGCTGCTCGGGGAGCGGGAGGGGCCAGCAGGGGGCGGGGCCACGCGAGCTGTCTCGGAGGCTTGGTTTCCTTCCTGAGAGACAGGTCTGGGGCGTATGCGAAATGTCAGCATCCGCTAAATCTGGGTGGTGGGTACATGCGCGTTTTCATGTTAATTCTTGAGGACCTGCGGCATTTCATAATCAGAGCATTTTGTGGAGGCTTTGTAAGGCGAGCAGGGGGCGGGTCCACGGGGCAGGCAGCCTCGTTCCAGCGTCTTTGATCCGCGTGGGACGCACCAAGGATTCCCTGAGGTTGGGCTCACTCGCCGGGTGCGTCTCCTCCTCGGTCTCGTCCGGGGAGGGTCTCAATACATCCGGGAGGGCCTCGGCAGAGATGCCGGGCGGGAGTCGGAGTCAGACGTCCTGCTCCCGAGTCACCCACCGGGCGCTGGAAGCAGCCTCTCAGCTGAGTCTGTGTTCTCATCTGTAAAATGGGGTGACCTGGACAGGCAGGCGAGGTATGTCTGCAAAGTTCTCAGCACAGTGCCCGGCAACTCCCCGGCCATCAGTGAGGGCTCCGGAAAGGCTGCCGTGAAATCCCCTTGGGAGGCCATGCTACCTCCCTGGAAAGGACAATGAAACAGGAAGATGCCCAAAAGACTTCTTTGACAAGTAAATTAAAGTTCGGGGGGTGGGGCACGGTGATCACCTCCTTGTCTAGCAAATCTTGCAAAGTCAGCAGCAGGGGTTAGTGGGAGGGAAACTGGTCCTGTCCTTGCAGGGGTGACCGGTCAGTTTCTGCCAGGGTGCCACACAGGTGCTCACCTGACCCGGCAGTCCCATGTCTGCGAGTTTGCCCTAAGGTCACACCCGCAAGCCTGGCGTGCTGCAGTCCACTGGGTCGCAAAGAGTCGGACACGACGGAGCGACTGAAGAACAACCCACTCCTGCGACGGCACAGATACCCTTGTGCACCGGGTCACTCACGCCGCGGGGCCTGCGCCAGTGTGCACGCTGGAGACAGTCTGCGTGCTCTGTGTAGGAGTGGGCGCGTGGTTCAATCAACCGTGCACGTGGATGAGCGCACCTCACAGCTTAGAACAGATGCAGGGAGCCAGCTGTGAACTGCTGGGGGGCGAAAGCATGCAAAGTGCAAAAGTGCACGCGCGCACGTGAGCGTGTGTGCGCAAACTGCTTAGATTTGAGTTGTAATAAGAGAACTAAGAAAATACGTCCGCGTGGATCTGCTTATTCTCGGAGAAGGAGGAGGAGCACGCAGGCTGGATAAATCAGAAACTGAGGAGTGTGGTTGCCTGCAGGAGGGGGAGGAGGGAGTGCGCTGGGGTAACGTCCTTCTGAGGACACTTTATGGGACAGTTTTTTGGAGGAGGACAGCCTTGGCTTTTGAATCCTGCCAGTGTTTATATTGGGGCTTCCCTCATAGCTCAGTTGGTAAAGAATCCGCCTGCAATGCAGGGGACCCTGGTTTGATTCCTGGGTCAGGAAGATGCACTGGAGAAGGGATAGGCTACCCACTCCAGTATTCCGGCCTGGAGAATTCTATGGACTGTATAGTCCATGGGGTTGCAAAGAGTCAGACATGACTGAGTGACTTTCACTTTCATTTCAGTATTTATACACACACCCACAAATTAGGAAGGATGGAAAGCAGACAAACCGATGGGTTTCAGATAAGTGGCTACTACTGCTGCTGCTAAGTCACTTCAGTCGTGGCCGACTCTGTGCGACCCCATAGACGGCAGCCCATCAGGCTCCTCCGTCCCTGGGATTCTCCAGGCAAGAACATTGGAGTGGGTTGCCATTTCCTTCTCCAATGCAGGAAAGTGAAAAGTGAAAGTGAAGTCGCTCAGTCATGTCGGACTCTTCTTGACCCCATAGACTGCAGCCTACCAGACTCCTCCATCCATGGGATTTTCCGGGCAAGAGTACTGGAGTGGGGTGCCATTGCCTTCTCCGTGGCAGAGGCACAGTAAGGCATGAAGAAATGACTCAGGTCAATCTGAGCACAGCGCCCTGACCACACACCCTGAGGCTGAAACCTCCAGTCGGAAGCTTGCTTCCCTGGTGCTGGGGGTGGGAATTTCAAAGCTGCGCTCTGCATCTCCCAGGATGCAGCCAGGAGTGTTGTGCGAGGGTGGGGCTGCGGGGGTGGGTCATGTGTCCAGTGTGGAGGCACTGGGTGAGCCCACGGGGAACAGAGCATCTGGGGAAGATGTTCCCGTAAGGTCCCCCTGTGCCGTCCCTGGGGGGCCAGCAGCCCACCACGCACAGATCCTGGTTTTTAGTGTCTTCCCTCCAGGAGGAACCAGGGCTGCTTGGAGAGATGGCAGCTTTCAGGACAAGGGGCAGGGAAGGACAAAATGACCCTGGGGTGTGTTTTCTGCCAAAAAGTAAAGAAGTGCTCAGAGAAAGGGGGGTGTGTCAAGAGGACCTAGGAGTCAGCCCGCAGGGACTTCCAAGCACTTTAGCATGAAAATGAGTAATGAAAGTAACAGGGTGTAACCCAGAGAACAAGACGAGAATAGCAAGCTCACACTGAAGTAAATGAACGAAAGAATGAATGAGGGTGTTAGGGGCTGAACTGTGTCCTCCTAAATTCATAGGTTGAGGTCCTAATCCCTGGGGCCTCAGAATGCAACCTTATTTGGAAATAGGGTCATTGCAGATGTAATTAGTTCAGGTGAAGTCACTAGGGAAGCCCTATTCCAGTAGGACTGGTGCTCTTATTAGAGAGATTTGGGCATAAGACAAGCATGTAGGGAGAAGGCCCGTCCACTCACCCACCCACACCCCTACCCACCCACCCACCCACCCACCCACACACCCACCCACCCACACACCCACCTATCTGCCCATCCATGCATCTGCACACTCATCCACCCACCCATCCACTCCACCACCCATCATCCAAGCATCCATCCATCAACTATCCATCCATCATCCATCCATCCATCATCCAACCATCCATCCATCCATCCATCCACCCATCATCCATACATCCACCCATCATCCATCCATCCATCCATCCATCAACCACCCATCCATCCATCCACCCACCCATCCACTCCATCACCCATCATCCAAGCATCCATCCATCTATAATCCATCCATCCATCATCCAACCATCCATCCATCACCCATCCACCCATCATCCATACATCCACCCATCATCCATCCATCCATCCATCCATCAACCACCCATCCATCCATCAGCCACCCATCCATCCACCCACATACCCACCTATCTGCCCATCCATACATCTGCACACTCATCCACCCACCCATCCACTCCACCACCCATCGTCCATCCACCCATCATCCAATCATCCATCCATCAACTATCCACCCATCGTCCATCCATCCATCATCCAACCATCCACCCATCACCCACCCACCCATCATCCATACATCCACCCATCATCCATCCATCCATCCATCCATCCATCCATCAACCACCCATCCATCCATCCACCCACCCATCCACTCCACCACCCATCGTCCATCCATCCATCATCCAGTCATCCATCCATCAACTATCCATCCATCATCCATCCATCCATCATCCAACCATCCATCCATCACCCATCCACCCATCATCCATCCATCCATCCATCCATCCATCCATCAACCACCCATCCATCCATCCACCCACCCATCCACTCCACCACCCATCGTCCATCCATCCATCATCCAGTCATCCATCCATCAACTATCCATCCATCACCCATCCACCCATCGTCCATCCATCCATCATCCAGTCATCCATCCATCAACTATCCATCCATCACCCATCCACCCATCATCCATCCATCCATCATCCAACCATCCATCCATCACCCATCCACCCATCATCCATACATCCACCCATCATCCATCCATCCATCAACCACCCATCCATCCATCCACCCACCCATCCACTCCACCACCCATCGTCCATCCATCCATCATCCCATCATCCATCCATCAACTATCCATCCATCATCCATCCATCCATCATCCATACATCCATCCATCACCCACCCACCCATCCATCCACCCACATACCCACCTATCTACCCATCCATCCATCTGCACACTCATCCACCCACCCATCCACTCCACCACCCATCGTCCATCCATCCATCCTCCAATCATCCATCCATCAACTATCCATCCATCATCCATCCATCCATCATCCATACATCCATCCATCACCCACCCACCCATCATCCATACATCCACCCATCATCCATCCATCCATCCATCCATCAACCACCCATCCATCCACCCACCCATCCATCCACCCACATACCCACCTATCTACCCATCCATGCATCTGCACACTCATCCACCCACCCATCCACTCCACCACCCATCACCCATCCATCCATCATCCAGTCATCCATCCATCAACTATCCATCCATCATCCAACCATCCATCCATCAACTATCCATCCATCATCCATCCATCCATCATCCAACCATCCATCCATCACCCATCCACCCATCATCCATACATCCACCCATCGTCCATCCATCCATCATCCCATCATCCATCCATCAACTATCCACCCATCGTCCATCCATCCATCATCCAACCATCCATCCATCACCCATCCACCCATCATCCATCCATCCATCCATCCATCAACCACCCATCCATCCACCCACCCACCCATCCACTCCACCACCCATCATCCATCCATCCATCATCTAACCATCCATCCATCACCCATCCACCCATCATCCATACATCCACCCATCATCCATCCATCCATCCATCCATCAACCACCCATCCATCCATCCACCCACCCATCCACTCCATCACCCATCATCCAAGCATCCATCCATCTATAATCCATCCATCCATCATCCAACCATCCATCCATCACCCATCCACCCATCATCCATACATCCACCCATCATCCATCCATCCATCCATCCATCAACCACCCATCCATCCATCAACCACCCATCCATCCATCCACCCACCCATCCACTCCATCACCCATCATCCAAACATCCATCCATCTATAATCCTTCCATCCATCATCCATCCATCCATCCATCCATCCATCCTTCTCTCAACCA